TACCGATGAAAACCTCAGATTACCTGTTTTCCAAAAGATGTATTCATGATCAGTCTCGAGAGCGGTGGTGATATGAATCTTTGAAGTCTGTGTAATGTTGCTGAAAGCAACCGTCCCCTTCCCTCTGTCCCACCAAACAGGACTCTGCTCCACCCCACAGATTCAATTTGCTGACTTTGATTTAAACATTTTTGTCCATTTTTGTGCACTAATATTAGCTGAATCTATTATTTTGAAGAGTCTAAAAAGACAATCTATTTTATATAGACTTGTCTGCTATGAAAGTACACATTCATATAGCATGGCTGGCATTCCAGTTAGCTTTTTTAAAAGATGACGTCATAGCGCCATAAAATAAGCACAGAAAGCATGTCAATACACTTTAATGCATATAAATATTAAAGGGTCTATTATTTATGTATTACTGCTGTGTTTCATGTAAGTCATGATCATATATATAAGCAAATTCGTAATCAGCAGAAAACCCAGAGCACATGGCACAAAGTAAAAAGGAAGCTTAATAACACATGTATTTCCTTTTCCCCCATATTTGCGTGATAGTAAAAAAAACAAAAACAAATTGGCTATATACTTGATTATTTGTAACTTTCTTCTATAAAATTTTTGCAACTTTTTAAAAAATTTTTATTTGGAAAAGTTTTTATTGTACTCTGTACACTATATATGTTCACTTAGCTGACATTAAATGGTTTAATGTTATTTTCAAACATGCTCATTTTAAATATTGCTTTTAGCATTTCTTTAGTTTTATTTGCAAGAAATTTAAAATAAAGAAACTGATTGGGAAATTTTTTTTTTATTTTGATCTGCTCCATTAGTTTTTACTTAGTAGTGATTTAGCAAAGTTTTACTCTCACTGTCTCACACACTCAGGTAAAGTTATCACTCCATCATTACACTGTTGTCTTAGGGGAACACCTCCTGAAACTTTGCCCCTCTGACACATAAAGGTGATGTGATCATCATGTGGTGCGAACATCTTTTGTCGATCAGCATAGGCCAACTCTAAACCTCTTCTTTCCATTTCCTCTACCGTCACTGTACAGGGCTCTGAAATAAACCCAGCATGTCACTATCAGTGTCACAATATACATTCATTAACTAATCATCACAACCTACAACTTAAACTACAAGACTACATCATGATGTGTTTATATGATATATATGGTGAAGCGTGTTCATACTTACTTAAACACCTAATATTCCCTCTCCATTCTCCTTGCTCACAGGTCAAGTATCTGGAGAAAGGTGGACGCAGATCCAAAGTGTATTTATTAAAGCAGCTGTATTCAACTCTCTCCCCTGTATTGTATTCATCTTTTTTCAGTTCTATTGTATCTGCATCGTTTACATCTGGTGGTGGTCCACATTTCCCTGAGACTGTCATCACCAAAAAAAATGTGGCATTAGTAAATCTTAATTTTAGCCAGATGGCCTCTTCTGCCATTTCACGATATCCAGTCTCACAACGGTACGTTCCCTTTCAGTCGGTCACTCTCGACGTCAC